CTGGAAATTAATAGCCCACGGCCTTCATGATAGAGACACAGCCAAATCCAGCTTTATCCCAACATTCATTCCCATAGTCTGTCCCGTATGGTGCCCATTTTCTATTCTATTTTTTCTTATTATTTTGAAATGGCATGTTTGACATTTACTTATATTGTCATGAAATATATATACGACTTAGTTTTCCACAGTTTTCAATCTGTTTTCTTCATGCTCAGAAAAATAAGATTATCTTCAGTACAATAGTGCAAAAATATGTTTAAAAAGAAAACAAATTAAATAAAGATAGTATTTATAGTGATATTAATTGATAAATAATATTGTAATTAGCCATTTATTAGGGATGCACAAATATATCAGAATCATATTAGCATTGCCAGATAAGTGATTACAAATAATTACTAGACAAATGTTTAAACTTGGCTGATATTTCAAACTGATATTTGATGACATATTTATTGTACTTTGAAAGAGCAGAACATTTAGACAACTGCGCTAAAATGGCTGCATTTTATTAATTTTACTGCTTTTATAACCCCATAGAAACAAAATAGTTTATATATATATATATATATATATATATATATATATATATATATACATATATACTCCTTGTTTCTACGCTCATTGTCTCTGTGAGGGTACATGGGGGTCCTGACCACTAGCTTTTAGCCAATTGTTTGAAACCTGTGAAGTGATACAGGACTAGCATATTACTTTAATTTTATACATGTATCTGCAACCAGCCTTCCGCCCAATGACTGCTGGGATAGGCTCCAGCTCCCCCTGCGACCCAGAAAGAAAAGTGGCTTAGAAAATGTGTGTGTATCTGCAATTGCTTTGGTTTTATATTATTGAAAGCATTACAAACTTTTGGATGTTAGTGTAAGTATTATTAACTGAACAATACTGCATACAAATAAAAATCTATTTGTAATGGGGAATCTGAAACTAGCAAGGTTAGGGGGTTCAAAGGTTGGAGTCAACCCTGCCTGTTTCTCTGCCCTAATCAGCCAAGCAAGACAGAGGGATAAGAGAGCCAGTGAGGTAGGCATGAAGTGGAAATAAACCCTTCTCAGACAGCTGCAGCAATAACCTGAATAGATGTCGTCCCCAAGTGCAATTAAAGTCTCCCTGATTACGCCTCTCTAGCTATCGATTGGAAACTTTCACTTAATAACCACCAGCATGGTCTCTTATCGTAACCTCAGGGCCAAGGCTTCAGAAACCAGACTACTAGAGATTTATGTTTAAAGATTTAGTCACTCCTGGGGGAGTCTGTGCCATTTCTGTATTCCACTGTGCAAAATAGTAGAAAGCTAGCTTTTCACAATGTATTGTTAAGAGCTAGAGGACCTTTGGAGCTACAGCCAGTAGCAGAATACTCCATTAGATGGGTTATAATCAGAGGTGGGCAGTAATTAGTTGCAATCACTCAGTTACATACACTCAATAAAAAAGTGAGTATTTTTAAGGAATAATGTTTTTACTTCTAAAGAGGGAGTGCACAACACCGGGTTTTGCACACACCTGTTCTAAAGTATATTTGAGGCTATAACAATCTACCATTTTAGTTACATTTTAGTTATTGACAGCATCTGGTGCATTTGTGCTTCTGCTCAAGTTGTTTTTAATAAAGGTACTTTGAATGTTGCTTGAGTTACTATTTCACAAAAGTAATTCTAGGATACTCTACCCACCTCTGTTCAGCTTACAGGTTTGAGACATAAAATTAAATTCATTTTTAGGATAGAGATAGGAATTGGTATCAGGCTGATATCAGTAGAAAACACCTGAATTGCTTATCACTGGGAAAAAAAGAATTAATATCATCCAATTTGGAAATCTAGCCTAAAATAGCACACACTCTGACTGTGTAATGTTAAGATGTTAGCTGTGTATTTCTTCCTGTGGGGTAGTAGAGTGTCTGAGTTGTTTGAGCATGTTATTCTAACTTAAGTACTTATCTTAAATGAAGTGCTTAAATTAACAATAGCTCATTTTAAAGCTTATAAGTTTCTAAAGAAAAAAATATTAGATTGGTGTCAGATGAACTTAAGGTTTCGGTATTGGTACCAATATCGGAAAAGAAGAAATGGATCATGCCATCTCTAATTTAGGGTATTGCAAATAAATTTTTGTTTTTCAAAGTATTTCAGTCAGTTATTCTTATTGAAACGTACGTTTACTCAAACTGCTCAGTGAATTGATCTCAGCCATGAAGATATCATGTAAAGAGAATGGATAAATCTGCATTTAATTTCATGTAAATTCAGCCTCTGCACTCAGCTTTTTTACTGTGGACTTGTGAGATGTGTAAATGTATGCTGGGTCAGGTTCAAACAGCGGGATAGACTCCAAAAGCAGGGCTGCATTGACGCAAGAAAAACTTAGCCTTCGCAGCCTGCACCTTCTCGCCGTACACCTGTTTGTTTGAGCATGCCAGTGCGGTTCCCCGGACCGCTTGCTGCTCACTCATGTGAGGCGAGCACAGGTTGTCCACACCGCTGCCCTCGGGCATTGCAATGTGTTCACAGGCTTGGCTGGGGAAATAGAGAAGAAACAAAGGGGGGTGGGGGTGGTACAGGGTGGGTATAAGGGAAAAAGTAATGAAACAATGCCATGGCATTTCTCTCTCTGTCTGTTTCTTCTCTCTGTTTTTGGGGAAGGAGCTTTTAAGAGATGTTCATGTTTCCAAGCTAGTCACATGAAAGGGGATGTGTTCCTTAAAATCCCAGGCCTACATACTAAGGCTTACTTTTCAGTAACTACAAGGACAACAATGCAAACCGGAGGTACACTTGCCAATTGCTATTGTGTCCTATGCCAATAAAAATAACAATAACAAAACTATTGTGAGATCATCACCTCCTTGAAATAAAGTTAAGTTTGAATATTATAAACTGAAATGTTTCAAACTAGGTATTTTGCTAATATGCAGTGTGGAGAAAAGAGGGTTGAAAGATGAGGAAAAAAGGACTGCACTAAAGAGAACTAGACTTCTTTGGGTAAGGCTTGCCCTTTGTGCATGAGAGTAATACTGGCTCCTCTTGTGTCGGAGATGCTTTTCTTCAGCCTGGCAGTCTGGAGGCGACTGCTGCATTTATCACGAGGATCCATGGAGAGGGGAAGACAATAGCTAATGAGAACTTGCTCCCCATTGGGCTGGGGATCCAGACAATGCAACAACATCTGTGCTGGCGTGCTGATGTGCCCCTTCCCCAGAGTCAGACGAGGACAGGGTTGGGGGGATGCAGACTCACCTGTCCTGCTCTTCCAGACACCCTCCACCTCCCCTATCCTCCCTTTTTCCATCAGCCTACTGAGTAAGGAGCCAGGCTTGTCGAGGGGACTCCCAGGTCAAACCCATAAAGCATCTCCCACCAAGGTCACTGCTTTAACTCGAAACTTGAATCCCAGAAAAGAAACATTTAAAATGTCAGGAGTTTGAGTTAGCACTTCAAAGAGAGAGAGACGGCCAACAGAGGGAGAGAGAGAAGGGAAAACCAGGTGTGGACCTCACTTCAGCTTACAGTGATGTTTAATGAATGGGTCTCCAGGGTGGTTTAACACATGAAACCATGAGGTAGTATGTTTCCTTTTTCCCGTATAGAAATGTGCTGGACATGTACATGATTCAGAGCCTGTGGAGTGAGCGCAGTAAACATGTCTGCTTCTTTCACAGTTTAAGGATAACTCATAAATCTCACTTGGAAGAATGTCTACAATTTGTACTGTTAGTCTCAGCTGAAATGTAATGTAACATAATTTTCAGTTTGACCACACAAATTCTCATTGATAAAACGTTTGACAGTTAAACAAAGTCAACTAACTAGTTTTAGCAATCATTCTACCTAGAATCTGATGGATCCATCTCATCCATTCATAAATGGGTAATTAATAAACCTTTAACCTCAGGGTACACACTTACATACAGGCCATGTTTGGGGTGGTCCATGAGTCGCATGCTTTTGGTGTGTAATCACCTGTGCTTTTTACCATTTTATGCACTTTACACACACACTGGCCAAGTTGATGTGTGCAGCGTTTAACGACTGCTCTATGCACTGCTCTATTTATGAGCTTCACAGTAAGCCACTCAACCCCTTGCAGTATACTAAAGTAGTGCTAACAAACTTATATACTTAAGTCATGTGAGTTTGGATCCACTGAATTGTATTAAATCACTACTAATATGTACTTGATATTTAAGCTATTCTTTATGTATACTAAGTATACTAGTCATGTGTTATTTTCACCACTCTTATATAGTATAATACAGTATAATTTATCTATACTAGTGTGTACCACCCAATTGAACTCATTAAACTGTACATCAAATGTACATCATACATTTAAACTGTGACAAAAGTATGTTTGTAATACTAACTACCAATAATTAATATATTCAATATATAAATAAGTTATATAGTTATGTATATTTTATATAGTCCCAGAAAATAATTAGTATATTTACAAATACAGACAAGTATATTTGCTGAATCCTCCTTGTGCTCTTGCAATACTGGTTCAGTACACTAAAGTATGTACTTTAAGTATTTACTAAGGTGAACTCAAATACATAATTAGCATTCTGTGTCATTTATCTCTAATATACAAGTATTTTACCTGTAGTACGCTATAACAATATTTGCAGCATTATATGTGTAACGTTCTAACACTACTTGAGTGTACTGGAAAATGTAGTTCAGGTGTCCAACCACTCTATTCAAATGACTATTTATTTTATACTTATTTGTAATTTGTAATTTGTAATACAGTATGGTCATAATGGTTAAATGGTTCAAGGCTTTTTAAATATTTTACTTAATGTGTTAACAGTAGTGCAATTACTGTATTAACAACACATAAATAATATTTCTTAAAAACTTGTAGGTAATACACTTAATATATTAATGTAATCTTGCAATACTTTTGAAATACATTTTAAGTATTTGAAATTTGTTTTAAAATCACAATGGTTAAACCACAGTCAGAGTTTCTTGATTAGGAAAGCTTCTCTGGTGTCAGAACACCATCAGGGGTTTGATGCCTTGACAAATGTTAAAGTGTGTCCAGTATGTTTGAAAGTCTTTAACATGGTTGGTCCTGGTGCTGTGCTGGACTGTCATGTTGTAGTCCATGTTTCATGAGGTCTCTTTTTCTACAAAGGGCAGTGCTGTAAACTCTGCATGAGTGCTAGATTACTGAAACAAGAGAAAAAATAGAAAAATAAACTTTCTCACCTGTATTCAGGCATGCAAACAAGTAATCAAATCAGAAACACAGGATAGAAAATACCTACATAGTAAGAAGTTAATATATTAAAAATGTTCACACTACAGGATGTTTATATATATATATATATATATATATATATATATATATATATATATATATATATTGCACACAGGAGCCGATTGCTAAAGGCACTTTATCAAACTGCTTAATACTTAAGTAGTGCATAAAACTGCTACTGAAAAAATAGCAAAATTAGACAACGTCATGCCAAAGTAGCAAAACATTCTGTACTGAAGGAAGGGTTTTAATGAATGTAAGAGAAACAAAGAGATAGCTTGGATGAAGGAGTTAGAGGGATGGACAGAGTGGCTCTGGCCACACCTGATAGATAACTTGGCTGACAACCCAAATTTTCCTGCATTTTCCCAAATTTCCTGAATATAATTGTTCTACTTACCTGTCTGGGAGACTGGCAAACTCAGTGCACATTTTCTCTTCTCTCTCTCGCTTTCTGGATATCTTGTGCACTGATTATAACAGAGTAAAAAAAATAGTTAATGGTGTGACTTTTTTGCATTTGTGCAGACATTCTTGTCTTTCCAGCAAGTTAATGAGGTCAGAGCTGGCTAGCAGATAAAAGTGTTCCATAATTACATGAAATCCAACAACGATCCAGTTTTCATCATTCAATCAGATGCTGTCAATCAATATAAGAACTTCCAAAAGCTCATATAATTTGAATAGCTTATTAGCCAACTTGACTTAAAAATATAAAATTATCTAAAAAGGTTCTTTAACTGTGGGTTTTTGATAATTCATCATTTTGTGTTCATGGTCTTTGGAACCTTTAAGGTAGAATTATCTGGACTCTGGACACTCCATTTACACAGTCTAGAAACAACACTCCATGGAGCACAGAAACATCAGGCCAATAATTCTGAATGTGAATGAATGCTAAACTGTCTAATTTCATTACCCAAACCAGATGAGCTGCTACCATTTCATGTCTCTGAATAGTGCAATGAAGATTTCAGTATGTAAAGTTAACTGGTGGGGGAAAAAAAAAATGAAAAACAAAAAAACACAACCATTATCATTACTAGCAGGAAATGTACATAAAAGTATGTTATTAGAAACATGCTATATCTCATTACTGAACAAGTGCACACAGTGTCTTTAGCTGGGTTTCCATCCACCTATTTTTATGCACATTTTGGCATATTCAATAAAAAGGCTTCATTAAAATGGCAAATTGTTGAATGGAATTACCAATAAAAGGCATAAAATGTGCATGCTTTCTAGAGGTGGATAATTTTATTTGCCTGGAAAAGAAATGTTTATTACAATGGAAACACATATACATAGTTTATTTGGCACATAAGAACAGTATAAAATCATATAACTGATCATGTTTCAATTTTTGTACAGAGCATGTTTCGCTCTGAAACATGACAGAAAGTACAAAGTCCTGATTATAAATTTCTTAAAGGGAAAAAAACAAACATTCTTAACACATTGTACGAAGTACATATTTTCACATTTTATAAGCAACTATGAATAGAATTTTGCAAGAGGTGTGACAAAGTAGGCAAGCAAAAGTATTACTATAGCATATGAAGTTTCTTAAATGAAATAATTACTCAACCAGAAGCCTAACCTAAAAAAAAACAACCTCAATAGGAGGGGTAAAATGTTTTACTATGAACTTCCAAAAGTCTTAAGAACTTTAAGTATAATTAAATATTAATTGCAGAACTGCAATTGAATTTAATACATTCAGCATTTATCAGTTTGTTAGATGTTATTTTCTATTTAAGATCCTTTTGGTCAAAAATGAAATGTTAAAGCTCTAAAGTGAGAGGTGTGAGCAACAGTAAAGCAGCTCAGGAACTGACCCTACACAACAGAATGAAAACCAGAATTAAGATTTCAGTGTGAAGTGCTGAGTAAAAAAGAGACTGTTTTCTTCACACATATAAGCTACTTAAGTAACTGACCTTTGAATTAACTCAAATAATTTCAAATCCATAGATTTTCTTTTAGGTACATTCAACTGAGTAAATGTAACTAACACTCTTTCTGTAACTAAAGCTAACTGGCTAAGCTTTGAACAGCTCAATAGATTCTCAATTAGAGATTTTTCAGCATTAGCAAACCAGTATTGTTAATACTGGTAATCTTTATACTTGGTAAAAGAAAGCTGTGTCTGACTTTGTGTTAGCTAGCTAGCTAACAATCTTAGCTTATTTGAGCTGGGAGACTTGGAAGCAACGCTAGCAATACGAAACTGGATATTTAGATTTTTATCGATGCGAAAAACAGCTGGATAGACAGTCAGTAGAGAGTTTCATTACATATACTTCATTGTAAGATAGCTTACCATCAAGTCCTTCTACTTCAGCGGTCTGAGCCGCGATGGCAAAACAGAAAACAGAAACTCCCTCACAGCGTTGTTTGAATTCCTGCAGTGTTAGATTACAAGATCATCACGCACTGCAGCACAGACTGTTCACTTATAATATTTATAGTCCACTTAAATGTAACTGAAGGTTGGCATAATTTTATGCATTTTTCTGAGTCCACTGTGGTTTTATTGTGTTGCACACAATACTATATTTTATGTAAAGCTAAAACATTTCCAGCTGATTTCCATGAGTGACATTTGTTGAGCCAACACAAATGCATTGAAATTCCTTAGAGAATATAGAGATTATTATTGTGATGAGTTGGATCAGGTATGTTAGGAGCAGAAAAACTATAAAGTGTGCAGGGCAGGGTGTTCAGAGTTACTCCAATCCTGTTATTAACGTTGTCATTAATGTGCACTTAGTAAAAGGCACAGTGTACTACAGTGTAAGTTGGTATGCTAAGCATGTAATTGAGTACACTGTAGTATGAGTAACCACAAAATAGTTCTGCAAAAATATTTGATTGTACAGTGTTTGCAAATATACCAATTATGTACTGGGACTATATGAATTAAATCAATATATAAAGTTATTAATTATGTGATTAAAGTGGACATGGGTAGTACTACAAAATAATTTTAGAACACTTTTTAATATATTTTAGAGTTCAGTTTGGCAGTACAGAGAAGTATACTAAAATTATATGTTATATATATGAGTGGTGACAATAACACGTGAATAGTATACCTAATATACATAAAGCATGATTAAATATATATGAAGTACACATTAGTAGTGATTTAGTACAAATTAGTGGTTTCAAAATATATATTTATTATATATATTACATAACTTCCATATATAACTTTTTAAGCATTACTTAAGGGACAGTCATGTTACAATATTTCTGGTGGTGTAAAATCTATTATTTATTACCTGTAACAGCATGTTACAGATGAATACTCTTTGATGTAAGTATTCTTACATCCTACTGACATGATGTGATGTTTTTTTCCACTGTTAGAGCTACATTTGAAATAAAATTGTATACAATTAATTTGAAGTGTACTTTTATTTTATATTTACACTTTCAATATGGCCACACATCACATTTATCAATAATAATACTGCTAATACAGAATATTTAATTGCAAGTGTTGTTTCAAGCACAAGTCACTGCAATATAGGTTTAACATAAATTATCCATATTGTTTAGAAATATTTTGTTAAAGTATAATTTTGGTTTAGAATAAGCACAGTTTAGTGTAAGCATAAATTGATAAAGCATCTTTTCAACACAATATTCACCTTTCTCAAGTATACTTTTTCAAGTAAACTTCTAAAGCACAAAAATTCTCTTTTTTGTGAACGTGTAGTTTAAGCATCAAATCAAAATATTATATCAGTGCCAAATTAAAGTGAAGTATACTAAAATATAGATCCAGGAAAGATATAGATATAGGGAAAAAGGTTAATTATAAAGTCAAAAATATACTCCCTACATCCTGTACATAGTATAAGTAGACTAAAATAATATTAAAATATATGGCTTTTACACAAGGGACACTTGGCTATGACTGCAGCAAATTAAATCCAGTATGAGACCACAAAAAAAGTAGTACATACACATGTCTATATCTTAAAATTAAAGGCAGTCAGTCATTTATTACCTTAGCTAACATTACTAACCTAGTCTCTTTGTAATTTATTTCGCATAGTATCTTTTAGCTCCAAAATATGAGTTTGTGAAGAGTTTTTTGATAACAAACATGATAAATTCACTAAATGATGTTGAAAGTTTTATACCATTAAATTTACACTATATGACCAAAAGAATGTGGACATCTGACCATCACAGCTATATAAACCAGGGAGAACAGAGTGCTGGATCTTCTGTATGCAAATGTTATGGATGCAGTTCATCTGCCCCTCCTCCACTGGGAAGATTGGACCACGACCTGGTTCTACTAACTCCAACATACCAGCATGTAGTCTTAAGACAACCAGTGACAAAGAAGACAATAAGGAGGTGGTCACCAGAGGTAGAGGAGGCTCTGCAGGTCTACTTTGAGACCACAGACTGGGGGGTCTTATGTGAATCAGCTGGTGAGGACATTGAGAAGATGACAAACTGCATCACTGTTTATATCAATTTCTGCGTGGACATTGTTCCAGTCAGGCGGGTACATTGTTTTCCCAACAACAAACCATGGGTCACCAAGGATCTGAAGGAATTGTTAAACAAAAAGAAGCAGGCTTTTAGACTGAGGGATAAAGAATTACGAAGGAGTGTGTAGAAAGAGCTGGAGGTGAGACTGAGAGAGAATAAGGAGGCCTACAGAAGTAGCTGGAAGGAAGACTTCAGCAAAACAATGCAAAGGAAGTGTGTGCTGATATGAAGAAGATCACTGGCTTCAAGACAAAACTGTGGGGGGCAGTTTTGGAAACAAGATGAATGTATTGTTTAACAGGATCAGCATGACACCACCCCCCTCCATTAGCAGCAACATTCCCCCCTTTCCCTTGCAACCTCCACAACTTCCATACTCCTATTCACACCTCCTCAACCCCCGGCCATTATCAATCAGCCCAAGAGTACTGAAGGTTTGTACCACTCAGCTATGTGGGATTCTTTAGCATCTCTTCAACATGAGTCTTAAGCAAGAGCATGTGCCTGTATGTGAAACATCCTGCCTGGTTCCTGTTCCAAAGAAGCCATCTACCTCCTTTTTCAATGCCTATAGACCAGTGGCCCTGACATCCCACATCACGAAGGTCCAGGAGAGACTAGGGTTGTCACATCTCAGACCTCAGGTCAACCCTTTCCTCGACCCCCTGCGGTTTGCTCATCAACAGCAGGTTGGCGAGGATGATGCTGTTATTTATCTACTGCAGAAGACGCATTCCCATTTGGACCAGAACAACACCACAGTAAGAATCACTTTCTTGAAGTGCATTCAATACCATCCATCTGGGGGAGAAGATGGATAAAAATCCATGGTTGCCTGGGTCTTGGACTACCTGTCTGGAAGACCCCAGTATTTGTATCTGGGAACCTGCCATCCTGATCGTCTGGTCAGTAGCATTAGAGCATCACAAGGTGCTGTGCTCTTACCCCCTACCTCTTCACCATGTCTACCACTGACTTCCAGTACAGGTCAGACCTCTGCCACCTTCAGACATTTTCTGACAACTCTATGGTAGTCGAGTGCACCAGGGATGGGCAGGAAAGAGAATACAGAGACCTTGTAAACTTCTTTGTCAAGTGGTGTATAAGGAACATTCTGCTTCTCAGTGTGACCAAGACCAAGGAGATGGTGTTGGACTTCCGAAATAATAGGACCACAATCAGTTTAGTTACCATCATGGGTCAGAACGTCGAGCTGGTTAACACCTACCTGTCCAGTTTGTTGTCAAGCAGGACATCCAAAGGCGGTGTACAGGAAGTGGATGGGCAGACTCCACTTTCTGAGAAGGCTCAAGTCATTTAATGTGTGCAGCAAAATGTTGGTGATCTTCTACTAGTCTGTTGTTGCGGATGCTTTCTTCTTTGCAGCAGTCTGTTGGGGAGGCAGCATCAGAACGGAGATGCAAAAAAGCTTACCTAAATAATCCAGTGGGCTGGGTCAGTTTCAGACTGCTCACTGCATGGTTTTGAGGTGGTGGTAGAAAGGAAGTCACTGGATAAACTCACTACTATCCTGGACAACACATCACACCCCCTCCATGACCTACTGGTCAGACAGCAGAGCACTTTCAGCAACAGACTCATTCCGTTCTACTGTAGTAAGGAACAGAGATGACATCTTATGACATTGTCACAATTAAAGTCACTGAGCTTTTCAGTATGGCTCATTCTACAGCCAGCGTATGTCTATGGAGACTGCATGGCTATGAGCTTAATTTTTTCGACCTATTATCAATGTGTGTGGGAGCATCACCTGAACTGAATAATTCAAAGGAGTGTCTATATACTTTTGGCCATAAAGTGAATATGAGCAGATTGAGCTTGATGTTTATCAGTGCCTTTCTGCAACACTTCCTAGCTGTGCTGTGTACTATCTATTGCTATGCCACTGTCACGCATCAGGAAGATTAGGACTTCATTTCCCAGCATACATGCGGAGATCACGTGTCAGAACAACTTCCCTCAGACTCGGAAACCGTAACGGACTCCATTGCCCACAGTCCTTCAGGAGATCACATGACATCAGACAATCGCACGCGCACCTATCAGCGCTCCCAATCGCCAGAATACTAATTTTGTGCACCTCTGTATCTTGTCATATGACCATATTAGTTTAGTATATAAGCCCGGGCTTTAGGTTGAGACATTGCGAGGTATTGTTTCTCTAAGAACTTACTGAGCGTTACATTCTGATTGTCTTTGCCTGTTATGACCTGTTCTTTGTTTCCTTGACCTTGTTTTTTGCTTAGCTCCTTTGTACTGCTGCCTATCATTTGTGGATCTGTGTCTGGCCAACACCCAAGTCTGTCAAAGACCTGCAGCAATTTTTGGGTTTTGCTCATTTTTATCGTAGATTTATTAATAATTTTAGTAGTATCGCTTGCCCTTCTCACATCATTGTTAAAAGGAAACCCCAAAAGAATCACATGGAATGCATAAACAGAGAAAGCTTTCCAACGACTCAAAGAGGCGTTCACCTCCGCTCCTATTCTTAAACACCTTGATCCTGCCCAACCGTTTGTGGTAGAGGTGGATGCCTCGGAAACCGGCGTGGGCGCAGTTTTGTTCCAACGGACTGGCTCTTTTCTAGGTTTCGATTCAGCATCACATATAGACCTGGCTCTCGCAACACTAAGGCGGATGCCTTGTCCCGCCTTCATCAGGAGGAAAATACCACACCAGGCCCAGAGGACCCAGAACGCATTCTGCCCCCTGAACTCACCATATCTTCCATTCGATAGGAGATAGATGAAGAAATAGAAAAAGCCAACAGCGGTCTAGACATACCCAGCCACTGCCCCCCAGATAAGTTGTATGTACCAGAAGCTT